ACTCAAATATTCCTAGCTACATAGCCACTGCACTTTATTTTTCAGAATGGATTCCTGCCTACGCTTTCTTCTCCAGGACTAGCAGCAGAGATATAATCAAGGATAGCATTTTTCTCCCTATCACAGAGACTGTGGTAGAATTTTCCTCTTCTGTAAATATCCCTCCACACAGTTACTATCAATAGAACAAAGTTGGTATGAGGAATGAAAGCAATCTGCCATCCTTTTTATTTAAATTCTCTCTCATTATGTCAAGCAGAAGGAACAGTTTTATTTAAAGGAGGCTCTCTTATTATTCAAGTATTGATCCATGAGGAAGCACAGATAAAATATTTTTATATATAAGGTTACTTACAGAAATTTTTCTTAGAGAAAATTATTAACCAATTTAAATGTAAGCATCCTGTAAAGATACAACATGATTTACAGACTACCTCCTTCAGAGTCCAAGTTCTATTCAAAGAAGGCCAAGTCTGCTAGTCCCATACCCACATTCAACCAGAACAACTCTGCTTTTTATCTGTTCTATCTATATACAGAACAGGTGTGTTTGATAAAACTTTGAGGAGAAAGGGATTTCTACTGACAAATACTAATACTGAAAAAAAAGCTTTACTGGATACTTGGGATTCACAAAGTATTAAGTCCAGGCCTTCAAAACATTCAAAAATTCCATTTTTTCCTGACTGTAGGGATAGAGTACTACTTCTTCTGAAATAAATAAGAGTTACTAAAACCTTTTCTGCAACCTATATCCTAACTATGTAATGCTTTAGTGATTATAACAAACACCAGTAATTCCACGAAGACTACAACTAAGACTAATTAGGTCACATCTCTAGTCTTTGTCCTGACTTAATTCCTCTTTACAGTAACTATTCCTTTCTCCAGTTATAGGCTGAAATCTGATTATTTATAATTCCTAGAGCAAAACAGTCTTTAAAATGGCACAGTATATCACAATAAAGAGAATGTAACCAAAACAAGACATGCCATTTGGTCAAACTGTAGTCAGTAGAAAGATCTGCCAAATATTACATCAATCCCACTTTAACTTCACCCAGAGCTAAAAAATACTTGTGAATAAAAATTATGATGAAGTTCTGGGATAGCTTAGTTTCAATTCTAGAACTAAAAATAATGGGGAACTAGTTTAGAGACTATTGTAAAACAACTCAATAGGGTATTACATAACCAAGAACTACAAATACTAGAGGCAACAAGTTTCTATGAGTTATAATTATTAACACAAACATGTAACACATGTACAGAAAGAAAAAGATATAGAACTAAAATAAAAAGTGTGGATGAGTGAGATTTTAATATTTCTTCTTTAAAATTTTCCAAAAGGTTGGGCCTCCCCTGGTGGCGCAGTGGTTAAGCGCTGGGCTGTGAGGCTGCCCGCAGCCTCTGCAGTGCTGGTTCGTTCCCCCACCACCGACAAGGGCCCCACAAAAAAAAAAAAAAAAAAAAAAAAAAAAAAATCCAAAAGGGGAGCAGTAAAGGCTCAGAGAGAAGAAATACTAAGAAAGAGAATGACAAAGGCTCATGATGGGAATTCATACAAAGATTCAGAAAGGATCAGAGATTAAGAGAGTCAAATAGGTAGAAGGGAAACAAAAGAAGGGAACAGAAATGCAGAGAAACAAGTTAATACAGATTTGTCGAGGAAGTAACAGACAGACAAAAAGACATACAGACAGGCACGATAGTTAGCGAAAAGAAATATGAAGGGATGACATAGCCTGAGAGAGGGATAGAAATCGAGATATAGGAAGATGGAAATCAGAATCAGCGTGAAGGAAGAAGAGACACAATGAAGACTGAAGAAAACAGAATGAAAAGGCTTAGAGAAACATAATGACAGAAAATGATAAGAGTCAGACATTGAACTAATCCATCCTGGACCCCTAACAAAGTCTTTCATATCTACACTACTGATACACTTTATAATTCTTTTTCTCATCCTCGTGATATCAATTCATCCCCCAAGATGCCTCCTAATGCCTTCTTTAGGCTTATTTTCTTATTGCCCATCTACTGCCCAAAGCTCTCTGAAACCCCAAAAGAAAGTATCGAGTTTTGTACCCCAGTTCTTCATTGAGAGTTTTTACTTTCTTGCCCTAAACAAAACCTGGATCCCAGCCAAAGGCACTGATTTCCTTGTGAATCTCTCAAAATAGATTGCTTTACCCCCTTCAACACATTCTAGGGCCAGAAGGCAACACTGGCAAAATCTTAACAGTCCTGACCTCAAAAAACACCTCTCCAAACTCCTTTCTGAACTCCTAAGAGTTCTAACACCCTTTCTACTCAACCTTGTCAATATCATCTCTCTATTTAGTATCCCATCACCACTACCTATGATGTCATATATGTAACTGACTACTGGGCATCTCTATTTACAAGTCCCACAGACATCTCAAACTATTATTAATTTATTATTTTCTCCCCTCAAGCTCTTCTGTGATACAGACATAGGGATTACATAATGCTTCTATTAGAAAGATCTATTGCTTAGAGGACCATCACATTCAGAGAGACACAATCTTTAAGGATTTGTGAAAATTTCACAGGACATTTAATTCTAAACAATAGCTTTGAGTTTACTCATAAGTATTTTTGGAGAATAAGAACTGATAAGAATTCTAAAGCAGAAACCATCTTCGCATGTGGAAAGTACTAATTTACTACCTGGTCTCCTAAATGATATGTTAGTCCTACCAAGACAATTCAGAAGAAAGGAGATTGTGAATAAAGCAAGAAATTATATTTCTGGCGGGACGCTTTGGAACTCTGTATTTCTACACATTTTCAGAAAACTTTCCCTTTTTTGATATGAAAGGATCATTATTTCCAGTAATATATCACAATTTTACTTTGACATTTTTTAATGGAGCTATCCAAAATCAAGCAGTCTTTTTTTTCCACTTTTGAAAATTTATAATGCTTAACAGAAAATTCTGAGATAAAATATTAGAGGCATATTTATTTTTAATAATAGACAGAGGTTAACTGACCTTCTGAATAACTTCCCTTAATGACTTCTCAATTGTTCTTTATAAGACCATTGAAGATAAATAAGCAGCTCTTAACTGCAGCATGGAGGAGATCATCCTCCAGGGTAACACACAGATACTAGTCCATACATTGTCACAACTGAGACACAGTTAAATGAGGATGAGGGCAGACTTGTAATGGATGTTTCCACCAAACCTAAACAGGTACACCTTTAGGTGCTGCCACAAGTAGAGTCTAAATTTAAAAGGTTTGCTGTTCTCCCCCTTTTTTGCTTTTTAGCTTCATATGAATTAAGTTATTATATGTAAAACAACAAAACAGTGCCTGGCATATAGGGGATGCTATATAAATTAAAATAATGAAGAAAAAATATTTAGGAACTCTGTAAAGAAGCCTTTGCAAAGGAACAATAAGCATTCCAGGGCATCATGGAATAATTAATTCTGACCTTTACTTCCCTAGTTGGGGCATGTCTAGTATCTATTGTTTAAAAAAAAAAAAAAAGCCATGAAGATTCAAATTTCCATTATAAAAGTCCTGTGAACATAATAGACACTCCATAGTTTCATTTGGGAAGTGAAAGGAAAAATTAAAGACATGTTAAAACAGGTAAGAGATTAAAGACAATTAACAGGCCACTTGTTAGGGTTAAAAATAAAAGCACAGCACCACAAGCCAAGTGATTGTCTTTAGAAATGAAAGAATGCAAGAACTTATGAGGGCTTATAGTTCCTAATACAAGCAAAAGCATCATTTAAACTTACGTGTGCACACACACACCCACACACACTCTCAGTCTTGAGAAACAAGTGTCACTAAAGGGTCAATTTGCTAAATATGGTTGCTAAAACATTAGTTATTACACACATGTACATATAAAATAATTATTTCTCTATAGACATGTATATCACAATCCTGGCTATTTTAATACATGGGCAACATCCCATGTAACATGCTCTGTCATGAAAAGCAAGAATTGCTAAGAAAATAATTATAACAAAATTTAATGGAAATTAATATCAAACAGTGGTATACTGGAAAACAGTTATGTGAAATAGAGTACACTGGGTTAGAAATCAAGAGGCATCAGGGATCTAAGGATTTTAGATATTATATGCATGAAGTCTGAGATCCAAAATGTCTAATGAACTAATCCAAATTCACATTTATTTAGCAAAAAAAAAAATTAAGATTTTTTTACTTGCCCTACCTGTTCAAACCAGTGAAGGAAAAAATATAAGGAAAGATTCAATATGGGAAAGAGCGTGAACAGGCAAAAAGGAAGAAAAAGGTGAAACAGAAGAAACTGATTCTTCTATGCTTCTCACTCTAATTAGTACAATGACATTAGCTACTGTGTCTCCTGAAGAGAAAGATGAGGGTGGGAAGGTTAGGGGGAGTAGCGAGGTGGGGATTCACAGTACAAAGTCTTTCATTATCCTTTGCTTTCATGGAATTAAATGTGATCATAAATACTGAGCACTGATAACAAACTCTTGTAACATGTCTCTTCCAACCCATAGGCAAGGATTGTTAAATTTGTTTCCCAGTATTTAGGTTTCATTCTGATTCTACCAAAGTCTTACTGCTTACCCTTCCTCTCTAATACTCCCACATAACAAAATGACATTATTTCCCCCTCTCCAAAAAATAGATGAACTATATACCATGAAGCTCCAGTAGTATATATGGAACACAGAAAGTTTAAACAAGTATATAAATTTGCTGCGGAACTGAAGACAGATTTTTTAAAACGAAAATTCTTAAAATCCATTCCCTTTATCTTCTCATAGACATTTTCCAAATATAACTAATGATATTTAAGGATCATATCTTGAACTCTGAATCTGTAATGTCGGTGTTTTTGAATTCTTCCAATGAACTACCACAATTCTTGTGGGGGTGGGGAGCAGCAGGAGGGAGGGTCTATTATAACAAGTCTTTCACAATATTCAATACATACTTTCTGTAAGACCTACCTTCTCACCACTTGAGTAGAAGAAGTAGCGCAATCGGACTATGTTACAGTGATCTAGCTTTCTCATGATCTGAAGTTCACGGTTCTGAAAAGGAAACACATGAAAATATGTATTTTAAAGAATAACTGCTTTTCATCATATTGACTAAGCTGTTTCAAAAAAACATTAAATACTATAAACAGCAGGCTATAGACAAAAGAACAGTCTTTAAAAGTTAACATGCAAACTATGTGTGACTAGTCCATGACCAATGTTACTACTCTGCAGTAAGTACAGAAATTGAAAACAAATGTTTAGAATCTTTTATAGCAATTTGAAAAAATAATTTTATATCTATCTATGAATCTTAAAAAATGGAACCTATATTTTGTTTTTTAATTTTACTTTTCTAATAATACATCGCCAATTTTCCAATAATTTGTATCACATTTTATGAAAATACTAGTCTTTAATTAATTGGAAATTTTAAAAGCCAGTATTTCACCACAAAGGAGCTTTAGGAGCACTGATCTATATTACATAAGAGATATCTGAAATGAACTGCTACTAGTGTAATTTTTTTGCAACAATAATAAAAAAAATCAAACTTCTCACCAAAAAAAAAAAAAAATTGGACACAAAGGAAACTCTTACAAGTCCTATTATTTCTCAAAATACAGTGAAAACTCGTTAACCTATTAAAAAAGGCTCAAATGGTAAGTTTTAGAGAGTTAAATACGGCATTTTAGAAATCGTACATTCAAACAAATTTATAGACAGTACAAATATTTTTTCCTTTGAAGAGTTTCAAAGTTATGATCATAATTTATGAAAAGAAAACATTAAATAATGACTTCCTAACCCCATAAATTTTGCAGTAGTAAATTTGAAGACAAAGCAAATACATTTCAACAATATGCTTGACTGTCAGAAATACGGTTAATAACGGCTAGGTTATATAACAGAAAGAATACTAAAATACTAATTATGTGGATAGGAAATATAAAATTTTAGTTGAAAATAGGATTTAGGAGGACTATAAAACAAAGTGCATAGATAGGGGCCTCCCTGGTGGCACAAGGGGTTAAGCACCGCACTATGAAGCAATCCACAGACTCTGCAGCACGAGTTTGATCCCCGGCCGGCCAGGGAGAAACCCACTTGGCGCAGTAGACCTCTCCTGTCTCACCCGCTGCTCCCCTCAGCAGTATATTTCAGTCTGTCTGACTGCTCTGTTCCCCACTCTGCCTCTGGTGGACCCTCTGTCTGGCCTGTACCCCAGGTCTTGTATGAATAAATAAACCTTTCAAAGTACATAGACGGGGGGAAAATGGCCAAAATACTGTGTACATGGCAGATGCACAGGGGAAAGAGCCTAATAAGCAGAACTGTCATAGAGCAGAATTAGTTTCAATTCTTGCAACATGGAAACTTCCAATAGACTCTAATGACTATTTTAGCATGTCTTCTCAGGAAAACTAGAATACTCAAGATGACACTTCTGTCTCTTTAAACTGATTATCAGAGCTAGGCTTATCTATACAGTAATAATAAAAATTCTTTTATAAGAAATCAATCTTTCCACTGCATGTTTAAAAATGTTTACAGCTAAAGCAATGAACAGAAACTAAAGCAGTACGGGATAATTCATTTAACAAAGATAATACCTGATGGTAGACTCTAATTTTGGCCACTGCAGAGAAAGACACAAAAAACGCCAATTTCAAAAATGTGTCCATTCCAAACTGAAACTATTACAACAGTACATTTATACTTTAGCAGTTTTACGGGAGAACTGTTAATATACTAAGACTCATACTCTCTGGATATATAGATTCTACTTTTCTACACTCATGTAATCAAGGTTACAGAGAGCTATTAAATTCCCAGATAACAGAAGCTATATTAGATTATGCATGCTATCTTTTATCAAAAAGAATGCATAGGTGAAGCAACTACCTAAACCTAAACATTCATTCACTCTTACTCATCTGTCCACAGTCTATTCTTTTTATTTATTTTTAATTAATTAATTTATTTATACAAGCACTGGGTACATACAGTCAGAAGTGCGGAGGGTGAGAGAATTCACCAGAGCCAGAGTGGGGAGCAGAACAGGCAGAAGGACCGAAGTACTTCTGAGGGGAGCAGAGGACGCGGCAGGAGAGGTCTGCGTGCCATGTGGGACCCTCGCTGGTGGCCAGGGATCGAACTGGTGCTGCAGAGGCTGCGGGCAGCTTCGCAGCCCAGTGCTCAACCACTGCGCCACCAGGGGAGGTCCCACAGTCTATTCTTTTTAAAAGAGCCTTCAAATTTTCTATTTTTAAAATTCTCTGTAAGATCCAAAATATAAATGTCATAGGGCAAATTTATAGATATTATGCAAACTTCACGTCTGAAATGCATCCAAATATACAACTATCCCAAACCTACCCATTTTTACTCAGTCTTTCCTTATTAGTTCACTAGTGGCATACTAATTCTACAGAAAACAATGTTATTCTAGAAAAAAGAACACCTATTCTGCACTAGGCATCATTCACAATGTTAAGGATATGGCAATGAAGATTAACAGAGTTCCTGTCTATGAAGGACAGGGAGGAATACCAATGTATTTTTCATGTAAAGAAAGAGGACAGGTAGAAAAGGTTGTTTTCCTCACAAAGGAGATAAGATCTGGACACAAACTTGAACGCCATAAAGATGAAAACCTTATGAGGACAAAGAAGAACAACACAGCAGTTATTAAAAAACTCCATATGTAAAGGCCCAAATGTAGATTTGGCATAGCAAAAAAACAGCTAAAAGGATCACATAATTTTAACATGCAGAGTAAAAGGAAAGTGGTGAGAGACAAATTCAGAGTGGTAGGTAAGGACAATGTTATATAAACCCTTATTAATCATGGTAACTGAATTTTACTTTTAATGTAAAGGACAGTCAATGGAAGTTTTGACCAGGAAGATGACAAAGTTTGCTATACCTTTTTAAAAGATCATCCTTAGAAACTGAAAAGAATGCTATGAGGCCGAAAGCGAATCGAGGGTTGTGTTTTTTTAGAAATCCTTATTTGACATCCATTAACGCGCAAGGTAGAAGCTGGGGCTGGAAATACCTATCTAGGAGTTGAGATTTTCAGCTATAAAGGAGTGAAGAGATCAGCAAACTCACTCTCACAAAACACCTATAAAAATGGACTACACCATAGAAAACAACCATTCCAAGACTCTGCCAATCAACCAAAGGAAACTAGTCAAGAAGCAGTTATTAAAGAAAATCTGCTAGATATTGTAAATAGGACAGTGGTCTTCTGCCAACTATGCTACCTTCCCCTACCACCTTAAAAGTTGCCTGGATTTTGAATGTATTCCTGACCCATGTACAAAATCATTAAAAAATAATGAAAGCGTTATAAATTCAAGATGTTTGAATGCAATCCCTAACCAACAGCTGGCTGGCCACTAAACTATACAGATAAAAGAATCAACCCCTAAAAAAATCAGGGAAACAGAGAAAAGTCAGGATTAAAAAATTTAAGATAGAATTCAAACCGGGGCTTCAAACTGTGGTAAAGACTACAGATTAGATCCAGGTAAACTACAAAAAACTACCTACACCTTCAGGAGAATTAAAATGAATCAGAATCCAGAGATGATACATTATTTAAAATGCTCAGTTATTAAAAAAAATTATTGAAACATGCAAACAACAGAAAGAGTTAACCCAATTTCAGCTTTTAAAAACACCACCTAATAGAAACTGACCCTAGGTAGAGTTGTATTCATCAGACAAGAATGCAAAGCAGCTAATATGGTCAAAGAAAGTGAAAACCTGAAACCATGAAACTCTTAGAAGAAAATGAGGGCAAACTCTTAAGACACTGGGCTTGAAAATGCAACAAGGGACATCACATTCAAAGTGAAACCGCAAAGAAAAAAAATCATAATAGCACTGACAGAAAAATGATTTCTCCCCTATATGGGAAAACAGTAAAAGTAATGGATGACTAACAGATTAATGGAGGTCAGAAAGCAATGACAAATTTCCAAAATGCTGAATTGAAAAAAAACAAACAAACCTGTCAGCCAAGAATGCTATATACAGAAAAAGTAGTCTTCAAGTATACAAAATTAAATTAAGATGTTTCCTGACTAAAAAATAGTGGGGAGAGTGGGGGAGCAGGCAAGGCAGCAGCTAGTCCCTACTAGCTACAGTTCTCCAAGCAGAGAATAGTAAACTATTATAAAAGCAGTGGTGGCAATAGCAGTTACTGGGGAAAGCAGTGAATCTTCTCCTGCACAGGAGGCCAGGCCTATTCCAAAAGGTGGACCAGAAGTCACCAAGATAGCAAAAGAAGTTATTCCTGGCTTCCCTCTCTAACAGGTGAAACACTAACAGGAGAAAACACTATACCAAAAGAGCTTAGTGGCTGCAAGTGGAATCTCATGACCCTTGGATATCAGAGACTCGTGTAGACTTCCACCAAGGAGAGAGACACTAAGGATAGTCCTGCTTCATCAAACAGCCTATGAATGGAGATAGAAGCCTGGAAGCTATGGTCTGGGATGGAGGCTTACACCCTTCAATGAGGGGGAAACGTTGCAGAGGAGCTGAAGTGTTCTGCACAGGTAGGGTCCCCAGTTAATATTTGACCAGAGTAGGAATTCTGGTCTGCACACCACTTTCCCAACCCTCTGGCACTGGTGCTTGCCAATGTGAGATGCACTGAGAGCATAAGGAATGCCAAGTGTCAAATCCCGAATGCCAGAAAGAAGGCACATTGGCCATGCCATTAACTCAAGTCAACACTCTTGCTCATTTCGACAAACTGGACACCTCCAGAAAGCTTACCCACCCCACTAACCCAAGAACTGCAAAATAGATTTGAGTACATACAAAAGTACACAAAGACCCAAAATATAAAATTAGCCAAACTTCAGCATATCCTACAGGGAAAGTAAAATTACTTAAACCCTCTAAGTTACTGCTATGGATATTAATTTTAGAAAAAGGGGGGGAGGGAATACGTCAAGTAAAAAAATGGGCAGACAAAAAAAAAAACCATGTAACACATGGCAGGCAAGACCTCAAAAAAGTATATTACA